TCTCTCTCTCTCCCCCTCTCTCTTTCTCTCACTCATTATATATAACAATATAATCTTATTTCTAAAAAAGTGAGTTAGCTTGACCTTGAAATGAAATCGGACAAGGTGAACGAGTGGGTGAAGTTGAACTTTTTCTGCCGTATGACGTCAGGTATGGAGGCAGCTCTGAGCTGGCAGGTGATGTCAGCGTTCTGAAGCGGTTCACTGTAACGGGTCAGGCTGACACACCTGTAGAAATTATGAATTGTGAAGTGTTTTACGGTCCCATAGGAACAACAAGTAAGGCTTTTTTTTGCGTTGCTACTTGTCAAATTTTGCAGTTGTGGTTGCTGTTCTTTTTTGTTTTCATACTTTATGCTCTCTTCCAAAAATATTGTTTAGATTGTTTAATAGATTGCTTCGATCTTGCCAGTCTGGACTGATCCATGCCGGGTGTAATAGATCTACAAATTAGCAGAATGCAGAAAATATTTGATTAACTACACCTCATCGGAGCCAAACTCCTGTCTTTCGAATACAAGGCGAAGAGCCTAACCACAGACGTCAAATGCGCAGCTCATCCAAATGCAGGCATCGGAAATGTTTGTTACTCTGTATCTCCCTCAAATAAAGAACAGAAGCAATATGATTTTCTCTCAGAAAATAAAGAAACAGGGGTTCTAGCTTTTATACACACGATGCATGGGGAGTACAGATGGAAGCCCTTGGCACTTGTATTCCAAACACTAAAACTTATTTGATTACTTGATTCCAGAACTGGAATCTTCAGAGACGGATTCAATCCATAACTCCTTGCCCCTCCTCAACAGGGTCCATCTTATGGTATTGATTCTGATGGTCTCCATCAGTTGGTTGCTGATCCGCCTGCGAGGGTTACAGAGGCTCCAAATGTTACAACTTCTAATAAAAAACTGGTTATTCTGGGATCGTGTCATGTTGTGCCATTTCTCTTTTCTTCAAGACATTCATTTTGAAAACATTCGCTAACGATGAAGAAGGAAAACGAGAGTCTGCACAATACACGATTATGTCACAGCAACTGTTGATCATCGCCTCTTCTGCAAGAGTTCAAAGACCACAAACACGTGCTACTTCTGTGTTACCTGATTAGGTGGGGGATGGTGCCGTAGACTTGAGACAACAAGCGATTCAGTTCTACCTGGAAAGGGAATAATTTTGAACAAAGGTTGTGGGTAGTTGGCGGGTGCTCTGGTGTGATTTGCTTCTTCTTTCCTATCGCAAACCCATTGTCCTTATCTCTCCACCTTTATATGTTTAACTACAATGTAACATCTCTAGTGTTCGGTACTTATATGACTTATCTGTGTTGCAAGTACCGTAAACTAATACTTAAACTGAAACAAAAACGAACAAAGCTCACTTCAGAACATCAGTAAACATAAAGCGCTAAGTCCAAAGGGATTGCGATTTCTTTTTCTTTTTTTGAAGGCGAGTGCATGAATGCAACATTATTACGAAAACACAGCTCACCAGGCACATCACAACGTGTTTACGAAGACACAGCTGTTCAAGCAAATTTTAATAGGATCAATATTGTTTACAAAAGCACAACTCATCAAATACAGAACTATTCGCGGCACAGCTAAAATAATTAGGTATTTTACCTTTTGTAAATGCCTCTTCCTTTCCGCACCCGTCGTGCGTCAGTTATTTAAAAGCCATACATCTCGTTTGCGTCTAACACTCTAAGCACGTAGTGGACACAATATCAAATGTGTCACGACACAGTGGGATCAGGCGCTCGCCAATTTTTGGGTATCTGGAGTTATTGCAATGATCCCAAAGCGTGCTCATTTGCCTTGCTTTTGATGGAAAAATCGACATCTATCTTGATTAGAAGTCGAGATGTTTGCAATTGAAGGAGGTGGAGTCGCCTCGTATCAGAGGTAAATTTAATTATCGAGAAAAGTGCGTCGAAGTTTAGTGAATTCTAAAGCGTTAGTATACATTGTACTTGAAAAGTACAAACTTACATTTTAAAATGTTTTTGATCAACGTATGTCAGTAAAATCCATGCAGGCATATGTTTTATGTGGACATAAAAACGATGAGTAAAAAATACATATTAAAATATTGCCCATCGGTTTCATTATTTTGACAAGTACCTGATTCCACCGGGTCGTGACACATAGTGTGCTCGACCAGCAGCAGACCAAAGGCAATGTTAAGGCACATTGCAAACCTCTTTGACGACGTGCATTCTGGTCATTGTACAACGTTCCCAGTCGTGTGATTTTGGGGGCATTTTATAAAGAAGTATAACTTTGTTATTGAAACGGACTTTTCAGTAAGTTAAAAAAAAATCTGAACCTTAAAAAGAAAGACAACGGCAATGGAATTTGCTATTTAAAAAAATTAATTTGTTTTTCGGATTTGTGTATGATGGTGAAACCGACCAGCAACAACAGGGCACTATGTTTGATAAAAACTATATATTTTCCATCTGAATTAAACAAGGAACTCAAATGATGTCCAGCAAATTTCTTGACTTTCTTGTAACCAGCGGATTTAGTGGCTTAGTGGAAAAACAAAACAAAACCCAGACCGTTGAGATGAGGAAGGAGGGCAAGATAGGAAGGCTTGCTGAATGCCAGTTAAAATCTTGTCTTGAAACCACGTCTTGATTTACTTGATTTAGTTCTTGTAAGTAAAATTCCCTTTTAATTTTACCCAACACTCTTCTGTAATACATCTTATCAGACATTATTGACCCAGGAACATTTTCGCACAAAAATCTTGTAAGATCCAATCCCGGTCTTTCAGATCACAAGGGAAGCGTCTACAAGTATGCAACAAGGGGACACCATGAGCATAGACACTTTTTCTCTGCAGGATAAAAGAGCAAGCTTGACTACGCAAGACGGTCCGACAGCTAGATAATATACTTAAAAAAGATATGAGATAGACTGGCATATAACGGCAAATACATGGTTCAACTTACTCTTGTGAATGTTGTGAACAGGAAATGTTTGTCGGCCTCCTCTTCAATTGACCTGTTAATAATAGCAATAAATTATATTCTAAAACATAAGTTACAGGTGCATGTAGATCTACAGCATACTTATAGGAGGGCAACTGTTCTACTGATATTGGAAAAGCAGCACACTACACGTCAACAGTCAGACACAAATTAACATGATATTAACTTCGATATATTGTCTGTCTTCTCTTCTGCTTTCTTTTTTGCTCTCACTGTTGAGCATGAGCTACACCTTTATGAATCACTATGCGTGCCACGTTGATGTTTAACTTCTTTTACAAAATAAAACAACAAGACGAGAAATATAAGCGCTGGGAAACCAGGAATGGGAGTTATTTCTACTTTTGATCCCATTAAAGTATCACACACACTCTCTCTCTTTCTCCATCCCTCTTTCTCCCCCCCCCACCTCTCTCTCTCTCTCTCTCTTTCTCTCTCTCTCTCTCTCTCTCTCTCTCTCTCTCTCTCTCTCTCTTTCTCCTTCTCTCCCTCTCTCTTTCTTTCGCTTTCTGTTTTTCTATTTCTCTCTCTCCCTGTCCGTCTGTCTCTTTTTGTTTTAGAATGTTTAAGTGTAGGTATTTTTAGGCTTCCAATCGACACAATTTAGATCATTTGGGAGACAGACTTCCAACCCTGCCTGTCTGGGCCAACACGGGCTGAGAGGGATACAACATCCTAGTAGAAAGACCGAGATCTTCTTAAAAATTTCTCCCCCTTCGGAAAACGAACTCAAGTCTCTTGTATCAACAGCGAGGAGCCTAACCGCTACACCATAATTGCCTGTTCTTTTTCTCTGTAATCAAGCCGATCTCAACTGTATACCTCCCATAAAGTTGAGATTGTTTCAGAATGCTATTAGGATCTTGGTTTTCTAGAGTAATAATAATATAGATTTTAAAGCGTATAGAGCTTGCTGTGGAGCGCGTTATTATTACAAAATGTCAAACACGGGTTTGACGAAACTTTGTGCAGTGTGCACTGGGTATAAGACAAAGAGACGCTTACTCACTGGTCTAGTGTGACTGTGTACATTTCTCTCACTACGGAGTTGGAGGAGGTGGCGAGCAGCTTCTGGGACTCAAGGTTGGGCACGATCAGGTTGTCGAAGCGGAACCCTGGGGTCACTGTGTACGCCACCTGTGGGGAAAGGTTGTGAGGATATGAGGACAATGACATTCAGTAACGACAAATAATACATACAACAACAATAATAGCAGCAGCAGCAACAACAACAGCAACAACAACAGCAGCAACAACAACAAGAAGAAGAACAACAACAACAACCACAACAACAGCAACAACAGCAACGGCAACAACAACAACAGCAGCAACAACAACAATAGCGAGGTAAAAAGATGGAATGGATTGCAGGTGTAGTACAGTAAGGTGTGTGTGGTATGGTATGATGTGATGTGGTATAGCATGGTGTGGTGTGGTGTGGCGTGGTGTAAAGTGTGCCTAAATGCATGACATTGTTTTAGTAGGACATGGCACTGTACAAACGTTACACTCGTACATACATATTTTCCAATAAGGGAGCCGAAAGAATGTGCATGAATAGACACACACACACACACACACACACACACACACACACACACACACACACACACACACACACACACACACACACACACACAAACACATTCACACACAGAATGAGAGTACAGGATTTAAAAAAAAGCGGGACAGAGAAAGAGAGAGATGAACATGCACAGACTGTAACAGAGACAGAAAGATAGAGACAGATAGACAGCTACACAAACAGACAAAACAGACAGACAGAGACCGGAAAACAGACAGAGACAGAAACAAAGACAGAGACAGAGAGATAATGAGACATAAACCAAGACAGAGACAGAGAGATAGAGAGACAGAAACAAAGAGAGAGAGAGACAGGGAGATAAAGAGACAGAAACAAATACAGAGCCAGAGAGACAGAGAGATATAGACAGAGACAGAGGCGGAGAAATAGAGAGACAGAAACAAAGACAGAGAGAGAGAGAGAGAGAGAGAGAGAGAGAGAGAGAGAGAGAGAGAGAGAGAGAGAGAGAGAGAGAGAGAGAGAGAGAGAGAGAGAGAGAGAGAGAGAAACAAAGAGAGAGACGGAGAGATGGAGAGACAGAGACATGGAAGGAGACAGAAACGGAGACAGAGACAGAGACAGACAGAAAAGAGACCGAAAAAAAAGTGATAGAGATAGAGATTGAGATTTTTCTCCCTACCTGGAAATGTGAGTGGGTGAGAGCAAAAACTGACTTCCCCATCTTCTTGGAGCCTGTGTAAATATTTTTCTGGTTTCCAAACTTTTTGTCAAGGGAGGCAACCAGAGCTATGTCGGTTATTCCAGAGTTCTGTCCCTGCACAGCCAGTTCATAAAGAAGCCCCCTGGGAATCTGAAATTGGTAATAATGAGGGATGCAACACATGCGCTGCGCGTTTCAACGATTGCATAATTGCAAGGCAATCTTAAGATTGCGCTGCGCCCTTCAACGGTCGTATAATAGTATCATTATTGTGAGCTCTCCAGTGTCATATTCTAATTTAAATTTATATTTAAATTTTCATATTTTTACACTTTTGAAAATATATGTGAATGCTCCTTGCTGTGAGTAAAAGAATAAAGATGCAAGTGAATTTTAAAACTAATATTTCAAAAATATAAAATAAAATATCCTTTGCGAATTTTGAGTTTGATATCTGTTATTGTATCTTTCTTGTGAGCTCTTCAGTTTCATAATATGTTAATTTTAATTTTAATTTCAATGTTCATATTTCATATTTTTACACTTTGGAAACTCTATGCGAATGTTCCTAAAGTAAGTAAAAGAGTAAAGATGCAAATATTTTAAAAATACAACATATTAATACAATCTTCGGATTGCCGCGCAATTATACGACCGTTAAAACGTTTAGCACAATCTTTGTGTGTGTTTGAATTTCTTTTAAGTACTCACTGTTACATCATTCTCGCAATGCTGATAGTTCTATATCATCGTTGGTTCTGGTGCTGATTGCTTTGTCGTAGTTATTGTTGTTATTGCTTTGGCTGTTGTTTGCTGTTAAGGCCTATGCTACTGTTTTTCTTGCTTACGACGTCGCCTTTTTTAATGTGTCTGTTACTGTTGATGTTGATGTTGTTATTGAAACCCTTGTTTCTTTTTCTGAAAAAGGAAAGGGGGGGGGGGGGGGGGGTTCCAAAACCCTCCTCTTGTCCCTATGGGTCGGGTATATATATTGTGGGGGTTGTTCACATCTGTGTACTGGGTTTTCTTCTTTCTTAAGGGGTGGGGGGGTTTTTTGCCACCCGTACATACACGATTCCCCTGTGGGGAGATTCTCTCGGAGGAAAATGGATAACCCCGGAAAAATATAAAAATGTTAAACACCCCCCCCCCCCTTCCCCACAAAAAAAAACATTGTGCGGTCTTTTTGCTCACACACTCACACACACACACACACACACACACACACACACGCGCGCGCGCGCGCGCACACACGCACACTCTCAAAGGAAAAAAAAAACTCAGCAAAAATGATGCAAATGCAAAAAAACAAACAAACCCATCCTAAAACGTACCGCCAAACCCAACTCGGTCAAATCCTCACACGGTTGTCTCTTGACCTGGGGCGCCGCCATACCCTCTTCCCTGAGGACATCCTTCTGTTGAAGGAAGGTCACCTCGTTCAGAAACGTCTGGATCCGTTCGGCGGCAATATTTTGACACAACGTCCCAAGGGTTCCACTTGGACGATCATCGAAGGTTGGCAAGTCTACTACACGAACTGATAGATAGCCTTCCTCTCTGCAGAATGAATTTACAGAAATAAGCAGCATAATCGTGTGGGGTTTTTTGTTTGTAAATATTTTACGGCGCTCGCAACTCCATAAGGTCGTATGAACGCTCGGGACTCACCTAACATTTTCAATTGGTAGGAAATGTTGAATTTTATCTGGGTGGCGGCCGAAGCCTACTCTTATCGATTCTGGACCACCAAGGGATCTTTAACGTGCACAACCTGCTCACACGACCTCCGAGATTTTTAGCCCTTGTCTGAGAAGGCTAGGTGTAGGTTTTTCCTACCAGAAGATCAGGGGTGTGGCTGAAAGACAACAGTAAGAAGGAGCCAAGGAGTAGCAGTAGAAAGGCTGCAGAAAGAGCCAGGAGCCCACTGGAGGGGGCAAAGGAAGTAAGGGGGTGGGAGGAAGAAAGTGGAGACGAAAGCAGACTACAGAATATTGCAAGAGAGACGAAAAGAAGGTGAAAGGAGACAATTTTAGAGAATAACATGTTTCCGTCGCTACACACATTCAAACCCAGGACCTTTGAATGAGAGGAGATCACGTTAACCTCTAGGCCTCAAGGGCCCCACTAAACGTATTTTTAGTTTATTACGGGCCATATAAGTGTCGCAGATCAGAGGTGTAATTTTCAAATAAAAGAAGGAGGAGAGATAAAGAAGATTTTGTTTGATAGGAAAGAAGGAGCTACCAACCACATCAAAGCATATGTCAAATACTCATGTGTTTTTGTTTCTTAAAGGCAGGGGGAACAGCATCGAGAAGATAGACTGTCGAGAATGGACAGGCCGCCATAATAATATAAGCTTACACAAACTGACAAATGCGACGTTTTCTACGACAGTCCTCGTGTTAGAATACAATAGAGTGCATTGCTTTCATAAAGCCAGTATAATTTTGGAAATAGCTACCTGTACACGCACGGCATTGAGAGACAAAAGGCAAGAGAGAGAGAGAGAGAGAGAGAGAGAGAGAGAGAGAGAC